ACTCTCTCTCTTTCTTTCTCTCTCTCTCTCTCTCTATATATATATATATATATATAGAGAGAGAGAGTCTGACACAAGGCCAAATGAAAAAAGGGACAATAGAAACATTATGTTACGAAAGTCTTTCAACTGAATGCAAGACTAACTTTCTTTGAAAATCAGCACGCAAAATCCACGATCTGCGTTTGAAAATCAACCAAGAGTTGATATGAAATTGTCGTATACTGTCGGTGCTTTCCACATATTTTAAAATCAACTGGAAAAAGAAAGTTTAACCAGTGATTGTTGTAGGACACGTTCAGGATACAAAGAGGGCATCAAAAGCACCCCACCCCTAAAAAAAACAAAAAAAACAAGCCTCCCGCGGCCCTGCAGTGAGATGCGTTTATCATCTCTCAGTTGCGTCTCTGTCTACGGACAGAGTGCGACTTAGTTGTGGCTTCTGTCTGCGGACAAAGTCACAGCTGAGGAAAATTAATACTTTCAGACGCCTGAAGCTGCAACTTCTCATTGGACTAGAGAGGAGGATCGCATCTCGCTACTGAGGTCAACGCAACCAATGGGGGCCTTGGGGCAATGTTTGTACTTGTCCCGAGTGTAAGCACCCAGATTATCCATATAAAACCTGACCTTGTGTCAAATCCCGTCTCAGTGGGGTGGCTTGGGTAAATACTACAAGCATCTCACAGCTCTGTCGTAGGATGCATATCATCACATAAACATTCCGCGGCCCAGTTAACTAGGATTAAACTATAGTATATGTTCCATCACCACGCCACGGCTCCAGCCATTTCGCAGCAGTTCCAGCTAGTCAAGCCTTCATCTATAGCTTGCCATCGGCCGTCGCTCTCGTCATCTCCAGTAGGCCACCAGCTCCTGATGTTCTAGCCATTTTCAGTAGCCCTCAGCTCCTACCACTCCAGCCATCTCCAGTCGGCCTTCAGCGCCTGCCGCCATCCTTGCCAACGATATGCTATAAACTGTCCTTTCTAGGACAACGCTCTCCAGCGACCACGAAACTGTCCTTTTCAGTACAACACTCTCCAGTGACTACCAAAACTGTCCTTCTCAGGATAACGTTATTCTCACCTTTTAGATGAGACGGCAGAGTTATTTTTGCCTAGTACGCGGTAACATTATTTTTTTTATGAATTTTTCTTTAACAAAATAAACTTAGGAATGTATTTCTAATCAAGTCTTCGTTTTGTCTGTTGTCATTCAATATCTGTTTGCGGGCCAATATACCACTCAAAAAAAATTTATCTCCGTCACGAGAAAATCCGGGAAATATTCAAATATTGTAACAACCTGTCTGAGATCATATTGTCGATCAAAATGATGATCACAGAATTACTTTTTATACTAAAATTCACCCAATACAAATCTCTAAAGCTTCTCAATATAGAGAGACACTGTTAAACTGGTAATGATGAATGAAGTGCGTTATATGAATAAAAAATGGTGAAGTGAATATTATGAGGATAGATAAAGATTGACCCTTGACATCAGGTTACGATTGTAGTGTTCAAAGAAGTACACAAGCGGAAGTCTGTCCTACAAAGTAGCAGTTCTTTCGGGGAAAATGAGTAGAAGTTTTTCTTTACGTTTGGAATACGGTAGAAATGACGGTGATTCGACTCCTAGGTTGTGGCATGGCGGGTCCTAGCTGTAAATGTGTGAAGCGGTGGAACAAGGAATGGACCTCGCCTGAACATTTGCCATGGAAATAACAATAGCGACAGGCATGCAACGTTGTGTCTGTAAGGAAAGAGGCTGCCGACTGGAGAATATCTTCCCCGGGACAAGATGGCGTAAATTATTTTGAAATCTTTCAAGACTAAAAAGTGAAACAAACTCGAATCTAGATATGGTAACTTTTGTAATGCTGACCGGGTTGCTTATTGAAATAATAACCAGAACGCCAGCTTAAAAAGTATAAGGGTTTATTTTAAACAAGAACAAGTAGATATTTACAAGTTTGTCTGAATCTGGAAAGCAAAGCCGGTATTTACCCAGCTTACCCACGAGGCAGGATGCGGCACTAGGCCAATTTTTACGTGAGGCACTTCCGAGCCCGTAGGCTCGGGCAAAAAATCCCCGTCGACCTCGCATACACGGGGTCAGGTTTGTCTACTTCCCCAGACGAGACTGTGTTCTTCGGTATAGGCTCATCTGGGTTCCTCTCTGCCCGAAGGCAGAGAGTTCGACGTCTTGATGCTTGATGAAAAGCAACCCCCCATCCTATCCGCCGAGACCAACATCATAGATGATTATATTCCTACTGGAACAATCCATTTAATAGAGGTGTATCCTTTATTTGTATAGTGAGAATTATTAGTTCGTTTCCTACAAAAGTAACAATGCGCCATTATAGGTCCAATCTTACTTTTGCTATCAGAAAGCATAGCAGAAATCAGTTTAGCTTTGGCACAAGGCGGGGATTTTTTCTGTTAATTCATAATTTATATTTACTAAAATTCCCATCAAAATTCGGAAATATCCTTTAATTTGTTGAAAAATGCATTGTTATTTTTGTCTTACGTCTCCAAATGAACTCACTTAGATAAGACTCAAATAAAATTCACTCAAATAAGACTCAAATAAGATTCATTCAAATAAGACTCACTCAAATAAGACACAAATAAGATTCATTCAAATAAGACTCACACAAATAAGACTCAAATAAGAAACTATCATGCCGCGATATTTTTTAAGGCAATTCACCTCAAGCAAGGCGGGAGTGTCACTAGCACGCAAGGGGTAACAGAAGATTGAGAACAAGAGTAAAAAGGCGTGTTTGGGGTAAGTATACAGAGAAGGACGGGGAACAAGCTCAGGGTGTCAGATGTTGATCGACATTACACGTGAATATTTGAAGATTATAGTCATCGGGGATGCAAGTAAGGGGAAGGGAGTTCCACAGACGGGAAGTGCGGGAGAAGAAGCTGTTTGAGTAGAAGAGACGGTTACATTTAACCGTTTTGACAGTGAAAGAGTGGGACTGAGATGCCAGCCTGGTAGCACGTTTAAATTCATGAAGTCTGGGAACCAGCGTAAGTAGATCGTCGGAACAGTTGTCATGAAAATACTTGTAGAAAAGACAGAGGGAAGCCACGGCACGTATGTGAGAAAGCGACTGTATACGAGATGCCAGATCAGGACCTATCGCATTGCATATTCTTCTCTGGATTTTGTCGAGGACCTCGAGACGTACAGCGGGGGCACTAGACTATATATGACAGCAATATTCCATGCAAGGACGGATGATTGATTTATAGATTTGAAGGATGAACTCAAAAGAGAAAAAAATTCTGGCATGACAAAGAGAACCAACTTTCCTTGCGGTAGATGAAGCTATTGATTCAATGTATTTGTTTCACCTCATGTCAGTGGACAGCGTGAGACCAAGCAAGTGTAACGAGGTGATCTCGAGGAATTGGGCATCAGCCATTCTGATGGGAGGGGGCAGGGAGGGTTCTCTGTGGTGGGTAAAGGAGAGCAGTTTCGTTTTGATGGCATTAAAGTTTACAAGCCATTTTCTGCTTCAGCCAACCACAGATTGGAGGTCCTTTTCGCGATCAGCAGCCAGGTTTGTTTTGTCAACGATACCAGATTTACTATTGAGGCAGGCGTAAATAGTAGTGTCGTCCGCGCAGATGCCAACTTGGGAACTGATGACATCGGGAAGGTCATTGATGAAGATCAGGAGTAGGACCCAAGATAGAGCTTTGGAGAACATCAGCGTTCGTAATAAAGGAACCGGAGGAGAATCCGTTTAGGACGACCTTCATTTCACGGTTTGACAGAAATGATTGTAGTAAGTCAAATAATCGTCGTGTAATGCCATATCCCTGAAGCTTACGAAGAAGGCCAGCAAGCCAAACCCTATCAAACGCTTTAGAGATGTCTAGAGCCACGGCTCGAGCTTCTCCATTATTGCTGAGTGCTTGGTATACAAATTTAGAGCACATCAGCGGTAGACCGGGCAAAGTGGAAACAATATTGCTTATCAGAGAGCAGATTATGTAATGCAAGGTGCTTAACCAATTTGGCGTTGATTAAATCGTCGAAGATTTTACCAAAGAGTGGTAGTAGACTGATAGGACGTTAGTTAAACGGATCAGAAGAGTCACCAGAATTCTTAAAGACAGGCACAACAGATGAAGACTCCCAACAGTCTGGAAAACAAGAGTCAGTGTGGCAGTAGTTGTAAAGTTTAGAAAGGACAGGAGCCAATTCAGGAGCACATTTCTTCAGGACAACGGCCGGTATCCTGTCCCCACCCCTTATGGGTGTCTAATTTAGAGATGATGTCCAATCAAAGATATTAACCTTTCCAACAAACCGATAATTGTAGTCCCAAGTAAAATATGTAGGAAGAATATTTATTCTCTGTAAGAAACGAAAACGACACTCTCCTTGTCGATGCATTCTTGTATTGATTCCAGCAACTTCAAGGCATGCAAAATAAATTTTGATTTAAAATTTAGAATTTCAAAAGAGTGCTAAAAATTTAATAAAAAAAAACAACAAAAAACAAACGAACTTTGATTTAAAATTTATAATTTCTTGAAGTGAATTAATAATTTGCGATAAGTAACTTTACATTATTTGGGATGAATTAACAGAAAACATCACACGGCTCCAAATGTAGGTAAACTAGTAAAGATGTAACTAACAGTTTTGAGCGTATCAGGACTGTTCTTTGTTCGTCCAGCTTACTCACCATTTCACCTGAACGTGATGCACTCTTTTGGTAATGTGTCATATGAAGAAGAGATAAATTCTTCAATGATTGAAGCTTCCCAGAATGACGTCAGTTCGTAAAAGTACAAGATTGGAAACATCATGACGAAGAGTTTAAAAAGAAATTATTAAAAAGTTTCATTCTAATTAAACTAAAACAAACCAGGCGTCGACATTATGAAGAAATATAGATCGGTCTAAATTGAAGAAATGGAATTAATGCGTGACATGTTGGATGGCGTCTGGAGACTGAATTAATTAGATGCGGAAAAGGTTGAGAAAGTAGGATATGAGAGAGGAGAAAAGAAAAAAAAAGAGAGAAAGGCAAGGCATGGTGAGAGAGGAGGAGGAGGGAAGAAAAAGTGGAATAAAAAAAATGAAAGGAAGGAACGAGTTACAGCGAATAGAGGGGTAAGTGGAATGAAAGAAGAGAAAGCAAAATAACAGATAGAAGGCGAAGAGGGGTAAATGGAATGAAAGAAGAGAAAGCAAAATAACAGATAGAAGGCGAAGAGGGGTAAATGGAATGAAAGAAGAGAAAGCAAAATAACAGATAGAAGGCAAAGAGGGTAAATGGAATGAAAGAAGAAAAGCAAAATAACAGATAGAAGGCGAAGAGGGGTAAATGGAATGAAAGAAAGAAAGCAAAATAACAGATAGAAGGCGAAGAGGGTAAATGGAATGAAAGAAGAGAAAGCAAAATAACAGATAGAAGGCGAAGAGGGGTAAATGGAATGAAAGAAGAAAGCAAAATAACAGATAGAAGGCGAAGAGGGTAAATGGAATGAAAGAAGAGAAAGCAAAATAACAGATAGAAGGCGAAGAGGGGTAAATGGAATGAAAGAAGAGAAAGCAAAATAACAGATAGAAGGCAAAAGAGGGTAAATGGAATGAAAGTAGAGAAAGCAAAATAACAGATAGAAGGCGAAGAGGGGTAAATGGAATGAAAGAAGAGAAAGCAAAATAACAGATAGAAGGCAAAGAGGGGTAAATGGAATGAAAGAAGAGAAAGCAAAATAACAGATAGAAGGCGAAGAGGGGTAAATGGAATAAAAGAAGAGAAAGCAAAATAACAGATAGAAGGCGAAGAGGGGTAAATGGAATGAAAGAAGAGAAAGCAAAATAACAGATAGAAGGCAAAAGAGGGTAAAATGGAATGAAAGAAGAAAGCAAAATAACAGATAGAAGGCGAAGAGGGTAAATGGAATGAAAGAAGAGAAAGCAAAATAACAGATAGAAGGCAAAGAGAGGGGTAAATGGAATGAAAGAAGAGAAAGCAAAATAACAGATAGAAGGCGAAGAGGGTTAAATGGAATGAAAGAAAGAAAGCAAAATAACAGATAGAAGGCGAAGAGGGTAAATGGAATGAAAGAAGAGAAAGCAAAATAACAGATAGAAGGCGAAGAGGGTAAATGGAATGAAAAGAAGAAAGCAAAATAACAGATAGAAGGCAAAGAGGGGTAAATGGAATGAAAGAAGAGAAAGCAAAATAAAAATAACAGATAGAAGGCAAAAAAGGGATAAATGGAATGAAATGGAATGAAAGAAGAGAAAGCAAAATAACAGATAGAAGGCGAAGAGGGGTAAATGGAATGAAAGAAGAGAAAGCAAAATAACAGATAGAAGGCGAAGAGGGGTAAATGGAATGAAAGAAGAGAAAGCAAAATAACAGATAGAAGGCAAAGGTAAAGGGCAAAATAAAATGGAAGGGAAAAGAAAGCAAAATAACAGATAGAAGGCAAAAGAGGGGTAAATGGAATGAAAGAAGAGAAAGCAAAATAACAGATAGAAGGCGAAGAGGGTAAATGGAATGAAAGAAGAGAAAGCAAAATAACAGATAGAAGGCAAAAGAGGGGTAAATGGAATGAAAGAAGAGAAAGCAAAATAACAGATAGAAGGCAAAGAGGGTAAATGGAATGAAAGAAGAGAAAGCAAAATAACAGATAGAAGGCAAAGAGGGTAAATGGAATGAAAGAAGAGAAAGCAAAATAACAGATAGAAGGCAAAGAGGGTAAATGGAATGAAAGAAGAGAAAGCAAAATAACAGATAGAAGGCGAAGAGGGGTAAATGGAATGAAAGAAGAGAAAGCAAAATAACAGATAGAAGGCAAAGAGGGGTAAATGGAATGAAAGAAGAGAAAGCAAAATAACAGATAGAAGGCGAAGAGGGGTAAATGGAATGAAAGAAGAGAAAGCAAAATAACAGATAGAAGGCGAAGAGGGGTAAATGGAATGAAAGAAGAGAAAGCAAAATAACAGATAGAAGGCGAAGAGGGGTAAATGGAATGAAAGAAGAAAGCAAAATAACAGATAGAAGGCGAAGAGGGGTAAATGGAATGAAAAAGAGAAAGCAAAATAACAGATAGAAGGCAAAAAGGGGCAAAATAAAATGGAATGAAAGAAGAGAAAGCAAAATAACAGATAGAAGGCGAAGAGGGTAAATGGAATGAAAGAAGAGAAAGCAAAATAACAGATAGAAGGCAAAGAGGGGTAAATGGAATGAAAGAAGAGAAAGCAAAATAACAGATAGAAGGCGAAGTGGGGTAAATGGAATGAAAGAAGAGAAAGCAAAATAACAGATAGAAGGCAAAGAGGGGTAAATGGAATGAAAGTAGAGAAAGCAAAATAACAGATAGAAGGCGAAGAGGGGTAAATGGAATGAAAGAAGATAAAGCAAAATAACAGATAGAAGGCGAAGAGGGGTAAATGGAATGAAAGAAGAGAAATGCAAATAAATTCATGAAGTAAAGGGGGTAAAATTAAATGACTGAAAAATACAAAATATAGACAATGACTTCGAAGTGGCAAAAATGGGTAGAAATTTTTAATAACCATAAAATTTAATCCCTTTTTTTTTTTTGTTGTTTGATGACATTTAGAGGGTTTAGTTGTAAGATTCTCCAATCAAATCGACCGGCCAGACATCGTGTGATAAATGTGTACACCAACAGAATGACACTTCTTATAGACTTTAATCTACATTTGAAGATCTTAAAAAAAAAAAACTATCAAAATACATTGATGTTAAGATAGAAATCTAAAAAAGTGTGGCTCCTGAAGACAGCAATAACTCCATTTGTGGTTGGGTCTCTTGGTTCTATTGAAAAATATTCTGATAGCCTTAATAAAATGATACAATGTCATAAAGAAATAAATAACAATTTGTTCTCACACGTACAGCTCCACACCTTATGGAAAATATACGTGCTCTTAGTTTGTTTTCTTTCCTTTTTTTTTTTTTTTACAATGTTCAGAGTGGAAAATATCATGAATCCATTTCTGATCTTGGGTTTCTGGGTTAGAAAGAAAAAAATAATCTACAGAAATAAAAAAAAGATAGAAAATTTCTGTAGTTTGTCAGAAACATTTTCGTGCTGATAAATACGGAAACATTTATTTATATCTTTATTTATAGATTTAACGTTCTGTGAAAACCTAATATTAATAGCATAGACTTTTTTTTCTATACGTGAATTAAGTCCTTTGCATAAGGGACGTCAAGTGACAGTTTTCTAACGATGGTGGACTGTTTCAATATACTTACAAACTCGGGAGGGGAAAACAATTTTGTTAAACATTATACAAAATATATTTAAAGACTCACATGTGAAGATCATCTAACAAGAGTAAGGACGTAACAAAAATTCTCTAACATTTGACAGCATAGGTAAACTTGATACTGAATTTATTACAGATATATATATATATATATATATATATATATATATATATATATATATATATAAGTAATTCATCGAGTCTGAATTGAATTGAAACCCGGACAGTTAGGTTATCAAGCAAACGTCATAATAATTTCTATCATTTGTATATCATTGCTTGAACCGGCTTCTAATGCTGAAGTTTGAGCGGCTTGGTGATAGTAGTCGTGGCTCCTGGGGGCACAGTCCTATGGTTAGAGAGAATCTCAGTTGAGTTCCACCACGGAATATGTGAGCGAGCGGCGCTATATTGTGTCTGATTTGATACCGCTTCGTTACCGAGGTCCGTTGGAACATTTGGTATTTTGCTTGATAACCTGTCTGGGTTTCAATTCTCAGTCAGTGGATGCCCACTGCTGATGAGTCCCAAATATAGGACGAAACTGCCGTCCAGTGCTTACTGCATTCTGTTGAGGATTTGATAATTATAATTAAGTAATTCATCAAGTCTGTAAGAAACTACAGACTTGATGAATTACTTAATTATAATTATCAAATCCTCCTAATAATTTCTATCATATATGTATATGGTGTATCAAAAATACTTTTAGAAAAATTAGGGTCGGTTTCCTCACACCAAAACAAGGACAAAAGTCCATATAAAGATATGTCCACAAATCATTCGTTTTTGAGTGATTATGTTTACAGTTTACGGTAGACGATGCTGTGTTGCTATGTAGATGAGGTTTGACCGAAGAAGAAAAAAAATTGCTGGACTGCCGGCGAGCGACACACTGAACTTTTTGACCCGCCTCATCATCATTTTTTTCTCCTACAGAAAAAAGCCAACACTCAGTAGCATCGACTATGAACACGGCCATAATGAGCTGACCGTATTTGTAAAAATAATCCTATCACTCTAGATATATACATAAAACAATCCATATATTCAGTTAGAAAAAAAGAAAATCATTCTTGATAATGGCTATAAGTATAGACGAAAGCGCTCGGACATACAAAAAACATTCGCACAATTTCTACGTAATTTATGCCCAGAAAAGAAAACACTTATACGAACATAAGAAAAATTGAATAAAAAGCTTAACCACACTACCTTGTCAGTCATATTTAATGAAACTTATATAAAAGAAGGACTGCTACCCAAATACACAATCATATATGTGTGTGTGTGTGTGAGAGAGAGAGAGAGAGAGAGAGAGAGAGAGGAGGAGTGTGTGTGTGTGTGTTATTAATATGAGAATACATGTAAACGTATTATTGTTTTATTTAGTTTCTTTTTTTAATTTCATATCAGAGATATGAAAATATGTCCGTGAATTTTTCACGTGTCATAACTCGTCCAGGATAAAAGCATAAAGTTTTTTTTATATAACGAAGACTATTTGACGAAAGAAAAAGTCCATCGTTCATTCGACTTCCAATCAATTAGGGTTTGTCATGAACATCAAACTTTACACCGTCTAATTAACTCTGATCTCAACTATTATTTACGTAACGTAACCAACATTTCGACTTTGTCAAAAGACAGGCCTACAAATCGCCGCTCTGAACCGCAGGTCAAAGTTGAAGGTGGATTTAATGATTAGAGGGTCAAAGGCTGCGGCCTCATCCCAATTATAAGCTTTTATTATTCATGTCCAGACTAGATTGTTCAAACTAACTTAAGTCTATACATTACACACACACACACACACACACACACATACATATATATATATATATATATATATATATATATATATATATATATATATATACTTGTTTCATTAAATGTGAAAGCCAATTAAATTTTACTCTTTTTCTTACAATTTTTTTACGAGAACAGTGTGTTTGGAGAAAATGACCAGAGTGTTGGTAGTCCCGAATGCTTTCGTCGGATATTTTACTTATCACCAGAATATATTTTTATTTTGTTTTCTATAATGTATTGTGAGAGATGCATTTTTTATAGTAGTAATTTTCTTTTTAGTGGATTTTTATTCGATTTCTAATACGATTTGTACATTGTGGCCGTCTTCTGCTTTTCACGAGAACTGCTTCTAACATATATATATATATATATATATATATATATATATATATATATATATATATATATATATATATAGCACAATGAGATTTATAATTCAGAGTTTTTAGCCTTTATTTTTATTTTTAAAAAAGTGCTCGACACAACAGTAGAGCATAATATTATAATTATAATTGTTTTTTTTTAATATATAATTATCGCCACACCGAAATTCCCATGTTTCAAAACTGAAACCTCAATATAAATTCAATCACACAATTTAAACTTAAAATGCAAAGTTCCGTTCCATTATCAAGCGATGCTAAGCATAACTTTTTTTAAATTGATTCACTTAATTTATAAATCCAGACAAATTTGATATCTTGAGATATTGGGCTCAAGGAAAATTTCATCCTTTTTATTTTAGAGGTGCTAAGATTTAACTTATTTAGAAAACTCCTGTATCTAATATATTGTAGTTTTATCAAGTCAGTCAAGACAAGGTAGGGGCTGGGGTATCTGTCTATTGATACAAATTTCCTTTTTCCAAGTAAAAAATTGTGGTAGTGTTTATGTTCCAACACATCATCTGGATTTCAATAGCAATACATTTGGCATTTTTATTTTTTTATTTAATTTTCATTTTTATAAATTTCAATAACGATTTTTTCAAAAGAGGCAAAACAAAAAACAAAAACTTGTATATTTGAATATATACAAGTTTGTTTTTTTTTTATTAATTTCCATTTTACTTTTAAAAAAAAAACAAGAACTTGCTGATCTTTACGTGACCCATGTCCTATGTGCATACATGAAAAGTTAAATATTATTAAGTTTCTGAAAAATAAAAATGAAAAAATAAAAATAAATGAAATAGCGAGTTTTTGTAGACATTGCCAAATTTTTCCTTGAGTAATAGCTAATTTAAAAAAAATTAAACTAACATATTTGTATTTGATTATAAATAAAATTATTTATAAATACATAATTAGAGTCTAATATATTAATTCTAACATTACCATATATGTACACAATTAGTAAATAAATTAAATATAATACCTTAAGACGGTACAAATAAAAATATAAATATTAAAAATGTGACTATCAAATTTGTCTGGATTTATAAATTAAGTGAATCAATTTTAAAAATTATTCTTAGCATCGCTTGATAATGGAACGGAACTTTGTAATATAAGTTTAATTTGTATGACTGAATTTAAATTGAGGTTTCAGTTTTGAAGCATGTGAATTTCGGTGTTGCGAAGATTATATGTTAAAAAAAACAAAAAAATATATTATATATATATATATATATATATATATATATATATATATATATATATACGAGGCCTGATAAAAAAAAATTATCAGGTTTGGTGCTATAAAAAAAAACTACAACACATATCAATACGGCATTGAATCTCCTTCAAAGTAGTCCCCTTCTGAATCCACGCACGTAATCCACGTCGTTTCGATTGAGAAAACCATTTCTGGCACTTCTTTTTGTGGCTAGAGAGCAGCGGCTTCATCACATCTTGAAATCTTGTTCCTTTCAAGTGGGAATTGATTTTTGGAAAGAGGAAACATCCGAGGAATATAGTGGTTGTAGATGCAGGCGAATGTTGTACTTGAATGTTGTACAAAAAAGGATGCACAAGCCATTGTCACTCTGTGGAGTTGTGACACTCTACACACTTTCCTTCGAAGCACTGCTATAAACAAGGCAAGTTAGTGAGAACGTTATAACTTAGAAGGCATGCGAGACAGAATTCAAGTTCAGTCTATGCCAAGTGGCTTCAGTCTGCGTACCTTAGTTCCGTTACCATAGAAAAAAGTCCCGATACTCTTTGATTAGACCTTAATATACATACATACATATATATATATATATATATATATATATATATATATAGAGAGAGAGAGAGAGAGAGAGAGAAGTAAGTAAATGCCTTGACAAATGTCCTGTCATTGGCATATCAAAATAATTAATGAAAAGAGTAGGTGAATGAGGACTTAGTCAAAACACTCTTCCATAAATACTTTTCTTACCCAG